AATCATGCAGATTGAGGGAGTGCCCCACATGCAGACAAGATTAAAAAGATTGATTCTTCAAGATAAAAGATGAATGGAGATAACTAAAAAGGGACCTATCACTACCAAAGCATCTAGCCAGCTGCATATGGAGCCAAAGATGAAGAGACAATAATAGAGGAAAAGATATCTCTTTGATAAAAAAACAAAAAACGCATGTGAAAATGTAGACCCCAGGAGGAAAAGAATAGAGAGACATGTGAGCCTTTTTCAAATTCTGATGTATGCAATGATGTAATAGACCAATAATAGTAAGTTTAAGTCATGTATAAATAGAGGTCTTTGGAAAAGAATGGGGCATCTCGAGTTAGATATTATTCTCTTTCCTTAAACTTTCTTTAAAACCAATTTTTCTGAAAACCCCTTGTATACAATATAAATCTTGTATAAATTATTATAGAAATAAAATCCCAATCGTTTGATATCAGAAAAATATGAGTTTCTAAACTTCTTATCCCATAGTGACAGATTGAAGAAGATAATCTCTTTCTTACTCTAACAAAGAGAGAATTTTCTTTACTTAAAATCCTTATTCTTAATTCTAAGAAAAGATACAGTGAGGACAAGAAACTGAAATAGCAGAATTCCCATTAAGGCAAAAGGCCATTTAAGGGAGCAGTTTGCAGATTCAAAGCCTGAAAGTCACGCGGTTCTAAGAATACAGATTTGAGATCATAAGTAAGGTAAAATTATTGTCTTTGTTAAATTTAGAAAGAATTCTTCTAATATCTTGAAAGAATCGTAGGGATTATTACTTTTCATATTTGCAAAAAACTTATCTATCATGTTATTATTATTCATAAAGCTTGTAAGGAATTATCTAAATGATGTCAGGCTATACAATTAAAGGATTAGATAATCTGTTAGAAAGTCTATTAGAAAAAATAAAAAATATTTTTTCTCAACTAGAGACTATGGATATATCATCTAAGGAATAAGATAATCTTAAAGAATTACATGACAATTATATTACAGATTATGCTAATTTATTATATCGAATGATGGAACTATATATTAAAATCCAAAATGAAAGAAATAAAAGAATTTTGGAACTATTCCAATAAACTGGGATATTTTGTGCAAAATATGGTAAGCCATTTCATTAAGGGTATTATAGACATTTTGGTAAGAATGAATAGTGATAGGCCATTTAGAAAAATCCCCCCAATTTAAATGTGGTTTACATAATTTAGGAAGTAGAGTATTAAAAGATGTGATTTGTTAAACACAATCATAGTACATTAAAAATAGAGAGTGTGATTGACTCATTAAATTTGAAGAGCGAAATTCACTCTCTATTTTAAAAAGTTAAAATAGAGAGTTTCTTGGAACTCATTTTTAAGCATTTACTCTTTAAAATAAAGAGTATTTTACATTTAGAGTGTTTTTTGGAGATACTCTGCAAAAC